GGTCGATGTGCGCGACGATGCTAAACGTGATCATCTGGTCGCAGGGGATGGTCGCGAGGGCGTCGATGGTGGTGACGTCTCTGATGGTCGTGATGCATCGCTGTGGCGCACATCGCAGCAATTGAGCGATGCGCCGCGCCTGCAGAGCGCGGGCTAGCATTGTCTAGCGGGTGATTGCGAGCTCGCGGCGTTGCAGCCATGACGCTGCATGCTGCTCTCCCTATCCTACCCAGCCAAATCTACATTAGGATCATGTGTCCGGTGCACGGTCGTGGGCGAGCTGCTTGCCTCCGTCGCTGATCCTCGTCTCGCCAGCAGCAGTGCGATGCCGCGTCCGATGGTCCGACCGTGGTGCGGGCTCGGGCATACGAGAGATTTCGTTAGACGGGGTCGACGGCGGCGGGGTTGACGCCGTTGCGACGACGGCGGCGTGCGCTTGCCGCGATTCGGCGAAGCGCGTCGTCGCCGTGCCGACCGCGAGCGGGCCCGCCGCCGACGCCGCGGCGAGAGTCGACGGCGGCGCGCGGGGTCGCCCCCGGATGCTGCGCCCTCTGGTGCGGCGCCCAGGGCTGCTGCGACGCCGCCGCCGGCCGCCGCGACGAGAGAGTCTCGCCCGGCCGCCGCGACGCCGCGCGTCCGCCCGATCGCCCGACGCCGCCGCGCGCGCGCGACGCCCGACGCCCCCCCTTCGTTCAGGCGAAGATGGGCATCTCCCGCGACTCCCGGCACAAGCGCCGCGCCACGGGCGGCAAGCGCAACGTCTGCGTCAAGAAGCGCAAGTTCGAGTCCGGCCGCCAGGCGGGCAACACGAAGATCGGCGTCAAGCGCGTGACGGAGATCCGCACGCGCGGCGGGAACAAGAAGTTCCGCGCGCTCCGCCTCGAGAGCGGCAACTACTCGTGGGGCTCCGAGGTCTGCACGCGCAAGACGCGCATCCTCGACGTCGTCTACAACTCGACGAACAACGAGCTCGTGCGCACGAAGACGCTCGTCAAGAACACGATCGTCCAGGTCGACGCGACGCCCTTCCGCCAGTGGTACGAGGCGCACTACGGCGTCGAGATCGGCCGCAAGAAGAAGGGCGGCGGCAAGAAGAAGGACGGCGACGCCGAGGCCGACGCCAAGAAGTCGAGCCACGTGCTCCGCAAGCTCGCGCAGCGCCAGAAGGGCCGGTCCCTCGAGTCGACGCTCGACGACCAGTTCGCGTCGGGCCGCCTCCTCGCCGTCGTCTCGAGCCGCCCGGGCCAGTCGGGCCGCTGCGACGGCTACATCCTCGAGGGCCCGGAGCTCGCCTTTTACAAACGCAAACTCGACATCAAGAAGAAGAAGTAGGCGCCCGTGAAACGCGACGCGGCCCGCGCCGCCGCCGCGCGGCGCGCCCCCGCACCTGTTTCGGGGCTCCGCGGGAGCCCCGGGACGCCCCCGCTCGTCAGAAACCTCGCCCCGCGTGCCGCGCGGAGCCTAACAACACCAAAAAAACACCCACTCATCGAGGCGGGGCGGGGGAGGGGGGGCTTCGGGAATCAGGCTTCGCGCGCCTCGGCCGGGACGTGGGGCTCCTCGGCGGCGGCCGGGGCGGCGACCGGCGGCGCGGCCGCGACTTCGGGCGCCTCCTCCTCGGCCGGCGGCGGCGGGACGTGCGGCGCGACTTCGGCCTCGGCCGGCGGCGGCGGGACGTGCGGCGCGACTTCGGGCGCCTCCTCCTCGGCCGGCGGCGGCGGGACGTGCGGCGCGGCGGCCGCGCCGCGGTCGCGGATGTCGGCGAGGGACGCGCCGCCGTAGGTCACGGTCGTGAAGCCCGAGCAGGGCTTGCCCGCGACGGCCGTCGCGAAGCCCGACGGCGTCGCGTAGGTCGCGGCGCCGTGGCGGATGGCGCCGCCGGGCAGCAGGTCCGCGGCGACGTCGGGCCGCCGCGCGAGCGAGATGACGCCGGCGCCGGGCGCGACGAGCCCCGCGGCGAGCATCTCCGCCAGCGTCGCCTTGGTCGTGCGCGCGCACTTGCCGCCGCGGGGGGAGCCGCCGCCGCGCGGCGCCGCGGCGCGCGGCGCCTTTCCGCCCATGGCGACCTTGGCCCGCGCGTAGGCCTCGCTCGAGAGCCGCGAGATCTCCTCGAAGGGCCGCTTCTCCGCGGCGCCCATGGACCGCCAGGACTGGGCGAGGGCCGACACGGCGTGCTTGCCCGCGCCGCCGACGCCCGCGGACGCGGCCTTGAAGTTCTCCTTGACGTAACTGAAGAACGCGTTGACGGGCTGCGGCGGGCCCGCGGCGCGGCGCGCGGGGCGCCCGAGCTTCCGCCGGTACGCGCCGAGCGACTTGCCGCCGTGCTTGACGAGCTGCCAGCCGTTCGCGGGGACGCCCTTGCACGCGCTCGCCCAGGCCGACGGCGACTTGTGGGCGTTGCCGTTCTCGTCCTCGATGAGGCCGTCGGCGAGCAGGTCCGCGGCGAAGAGCTTCTTCGTGCCGCTCGCGTCGTAGCACTCGCAGGTCAGCGCGCCGGGGCCGGGCGTCACCAATCCCGCGGCGACGAGCTCGGAGAGCCGCACGGCGCCGCGGACCTCGGCGGCCGGCGGCGGCGGCGGCGGCGCCGTCTGGGGCGCGGCGCGAGGGGCGGGCGCCATCTGAGGGGCAGGCGCCATCGGAGGGGCAGGCGCCATCGGAGGGGCGGGCGCCATCTGGGGCGCGGGCGCCATCTGAGGGGCCGGCGCCATCTGGGGCGCGGGCGCCATCGGAGGGGCCGGTGCCATCTGAGGGGCGAGCGCCGCAGTCTGTGGAGCGGGCGCCATGTGAGGATGGGGCGCCATGTGAGGGTGGTAGGGGAGCATCGCATACGAGTAGGCCGGCACGAACGGCGCCGTCCCCTCGGGCACGGGCGCGTGAAGGGCTGCTGGATCCATCATCATCCGTTGGTCGACCAAATTCGCAAGAGCCCAACCGTGGGGGTCAACTTGACTTCAACTGAGTCATGTTCGTGTGATCATGACGCCGTATCTCCCCGACGCGCGCCCCAACGACCACGGACGCTACAACCCGGCCTCAACGCCCCTCGGCGGCGCGCCCGACGCGCATCCACGGGATTACTTGTGGAGCGTCGCGTGGGCCATGTCGCGGACCTTGAGCCAGAACATCTTGTACTCCGCGAGGCGCTGGTGGAAGCGGTCCATGATGCGCCGCTCCGGGCTCGTCGCCGCCGCGGAGTACTCGAGGAACTGCTCGATGTGCTCCGACTTTTGCAACAGGTTGTCGAAGATGACCTCCGTGTTGGACCAGAGCACGGCGAGGCGCTCGAGGACCGCGTCGACGCGCTCGAGGTGCGCGAGCGCCGTCGCGAAGGCGCAGGGCGGCGGCTTCCGGACCCCGCCGTCGACGTCGAGCGTCGAGCCGAGGCGCGCCGTCAGCGTCTCGACGGCGGGGTCCGAGTCGCGGCGCGCCCGCTCGTCGGCCGCGGGCGCCGGTGCGCCGCGCGCGACCTCGAGCGCCGCCGCGGCCGTCTTCCGCGCGGCGAGCGCGTCCTCGACCTTGCCCTGGTTGGGCCCGTAGGAGCACGCCGCGCGGTCCGCGACGACGGAGTCGTCGAGGCCGTCGTCCATGTCGTAGTCCGCCCTCGCCGGCGACGGCGCGCGCGCCGCGTCCGGCGGCGGCGGCGGCGCCGCCGGCGGCGCCGCGGCGTCGCCGCCGAGCGCCGCGGGGTCCGCCCCCCGCGCGCGGATGGCCTCGACGTCCGACATGGCGCCGTGGAGCTCGTCGACCTGGACCCTATTCCCCCGCTGCACGGCGACGACGGCGTCCCGGAGGCCGCCGACCCACTTCTTGCACGTCGTCAGCAGCTGCAGCGCGAGGGGCGGCTCGCCCGACGCGACGGAGAGCTCGAGGTCCTCGTGGAGGTCGAGCGCGCCGGCGGCCGTCTGCTCGATCTTCCGGAGGAGCTTCGTGTTCTCGAGGAGCTGGGACCGGCAGAGCACGGCGCAGCCCCGGATGCGCTGCGACATCTCCGGCAGGTGCGCGTAGGACTCGAAGGCGCCGCCGAGGCACGCGCCGATGCTCTGCTGGAGCTCGACCAGCGAGTCGATCTCGAAGGCCGTCGGCGCGCCGAGCGGCGCCGCGAGCCTCGAGAGCTCGTCCCGCGTTTCCGGCGCCGGGGGCGGCGGCGATGTTTCGCCGGCCGCCGCGAGCCAGGCGTGGGCCCGCGCGTCGCCGGTCGCCAGTCGCGTCGCCGGGTCCGGGTCCATGAGCCGACTCACCAAGTCCCTCGCGCCCGCGGACACGCGCGCGAAGGCCGGCCCGTCGACCTTCACCAGCGGCCGCCCCGAGGACCGGTCGAACTCGGGGAAGCGGGCCACGAGGCTCACGTGGAGCACCGCGCCCAGGGACCACGCGTCGACTTCGACGCCGTAGTGGCGAGGCGCGCCCTCGCCGCCCCGGTGGATGGCCTCGATCTCCGGCGCCAGGTAGCAGGGCGTGCCCACGAAGGTCCGCCCCGCGCTCGACTCCAGGACCGGCAGGTCGTCGTCGTCGCCGGAGGGCGTCGTTTTGATGACCTTGGAGAGCCCGAAGTCGATGAGCGTCGCGCGCCACTCGTCCCCCTGCCGGTCGACGAGCACGTTCTCCGGCTTGACGTCGCGGTGGGCGACGGAATTCGCGTGGAGGTACGCCAGCGCCGACGTGAGCTGGGCGACGACGGGCCGCGCGTCCGCCTCCGGTAAAGATCGCCGCTCGAGGATGACCTCGAAGAGCTCGCGGCCGGGCGCGCGCTCCAGCACGACGCGGAGCGCGTCGGGCCCCTCGTAGCAGCCGACGTAGCGCACGACGTTCGCGTGCGCGACGCGGCTCAGGATCGTCGCCTCGCGCAGCAGGCGCCGCGGGCTGAAGTTCGGCCGGAGCCGGAGAGGGCGCACGTCCACCGTTTTCACGCAGAGCGGCGGGCCGCCGCCGCTCCGGCTTTTGACGCCGCGGACGACGGAGAAGGCGCCGCTGCCGATGGGCGCCAGCAGCTCGTACCGCGCGTCGAAGTCCGCCGACGCGCCGAGGTCGAGGCCCGCGCCGAGGGCCGCGGCGCGCAGGCTCGTCCGCAGGTCGTCGGACCCGTCGGCCCAGCGCCGCGCCTCGACGTCGCCGAAGGCCTCCCGGGGCCGCTTCGACGCCGGGGACGCCTCGGACGCCATGGGGAGCTACGGGCGGCGGCTCCCGGTCTTTACGCCATTGCTCTGCGAAGCGGCTCCCGGTCTTTACGCCATGCTCTTGAAGCCCGAGCGCTTCGCTCCGGCATGTTGCAGTGGTTGAACCTCGCCGGAGTTTACCCGCCCCTAGCGCCGCTTGAGGAGCGTGAGCTGGAGCGGCCGGTCCGCGGTCTGGATCTTCTTCGCGACGTCGGCGATGGCCGCGCCCTTGGGCACGGGCTCGCCGGCGATGGCGAGGACGAGGTCGCCGACGTTGATGCCGAGGCTCCGCGCCTCGGCGGCGGCGTCCTTGATCTTCTGGACGCGGACGTGCTCGCCGTCGCGGTTCGCGAGGACGAGGCCCAGCGTCTTCCCGTGGAACGTCGCCACGGACGTCCGCTCGTCGGCCGCCGCGGGCGCGGGGAGCGGCGCGCGCGGCGCCGCCGGCGGCCGCCCCCGGGGCCGCTTCGCCGCCGCCGGGGCGGCCGCGGCGGCGGCCGCGGGCGCCTTCGCGGGGCGGCCGCGCTTCTTCGCCGGCGCGGCGGCCGCGGGCGCGGCGGCCGCGGGCGCGGCGGCCGCCCGCGGCGCGGCCGCGGGCGCGCGCGCCTCGACGGGCTTGAGGCCGCCGTCGATGGAGTAGAGGTGGCCGCCCGCGCCGTAGGCGCTCGGCGGGCCGTAGGGCGGCGGGCCGAAGCCGCCGTAGTAGGGCAGGGGCGCGGGCGCGGGCGCCTTGGGCAGGCCGCCGTCGATGGAGTAGAAGTGGCCGCCCGGCGGCGGCGGCGGCGGCGGCGGCGGCGGGCCCCAGTAGCCCCCGGGCCCGTAGGGCGCGTAGCCGTAGCCGTCGTAGGCGAAGCCCCCCGGCGGCGGGCCGCCGTCCCAGGACGGCGGCGCCGCGTAGGGCGCGGGCGCGGGCGCGGGCGCCTTGGCCGCCGCGGGCGCGGCCGCGGGCGCGCGGTTCGACCGGCCCATGGGGTAGAGCGCCCGCTCGCGCTCGCGCTCGCGCTCGCGCTTCTCCGCGGCCTTCTTGAGCTTCTCGGCCTTGGCGGCCTTGGCCGCCGCGTCGCACGTGCCGCACGTGAAGAAGAGCCAGCTCCTCAAATTCACGCCCTGCTTCTCGAGCTGCGACGCCAGCGACCGCGCCTTGACGGTCTGGGAGCTGCCCGCGTCGACGTGCTCGTCCGGGCAGCAGTCGAAGCAGTAGGCCACGGGGCAGGACGTGCAGTGGAAGAGCGCGCCGCCCGCGTCCGAGCTCCGGCGCCCGCACGCGTCGCAGCTGTGCCAGGGGCAGTACCACGCGCCCTTGGGGATCTTCTTGAGGCCCACGCAGGCCAGATGATAAACCTTGGGGCACGCGACGCACTCGAGGAGCTCGCCGCCGTCCTGGCACTCGAAGCACTCCTCGTCGTGCTTTAGCGCGACGCGGCGGCCGCGGTTCGGGTTCGTCGCGTGCACCGGCTCGTAGATCTTCGTCGCCTTGCGCTCGCGGCGCCGCTTGCCCGCCGGCGGCGCCGTCGCGGCGTCGAGCGCGGGCACGAGCGCCCGCAGCAGGTCCAGCCGCCCCGCGTCGACGCCCCCGCGCACGACGAGCGACCGCGCGGCCGCCTCGCGCCGGAGCCGCGGGACGTCCGCCGCGCAGGGGTTCAGGCCGTCCTCGGGGAACACCGTCGTCCGCGCGTCCAGCTCCAGCAGCTCCTGCAACGCGCGCCGCCGCCCCGCGCCCGCGATGGCGAGCTTTAAACCCGTGAGCGGCAAACCGCGCGCCTTCAGATCCGCCTCCAGATCCGCCGCGGACCGCAAGCCCCCGTCCGACCCCTCGTCGTCCGACGACGACGCGACCGCGCCGTCGCGCTCGAAGATCGTGCCCGCCAGGTCCGCGGCCGGCCGCTCCGCGGAGGGCTCCTCGGCGACGCGGACCGCGCGGACGTCGTTCGGGCGCGCGTCGTCGATGAGCTTGTCCAGGAGCTCGTCCGTCGGGTCCTCGCCCTGCTCGGCCGTCGGGTCGAACATGGCCGCCGCGCCCGCGCTCAGGATGCTCCAGAGCTCCGTCACGTCGAGCTTCTCCAAATCGGCCGCCTCGCCCTCGTCGCTCAGCTCGCGCGGCGCGCCGTTCATGACCAACGCGTCCAGCAGCAGTTTCTGGTGCGCGCGCGCGTGGACCTTCTCCTCGACCGTGTCGCGCGCGATGAGGCGGTAGACCGTCACCTGGCCCCGCTGGCCGATGCGGTGCGCGCGGTCCATGGCCTGCAGGTCCACCTGCGGGTTCCAGCACGTGTCGTAGAGCACGACCGTGTCCGCCGTCGCCAGATTGATGCCCTGGCCGCCCGCGCGCGTGGAGATGAGGTAGAGGAAGATCTTCGACTCGGACGCGTTGAAGGACCGCATGTCCATCTCGCGCTGGATGCGGCCCGTGGCGCCGTCCAAACGCAGGTAGCCGACGCCGCGGTCGCCGTGGTGCGCGGCGCAGTACTCCTCGAGGACGTCGAGCGTCAACGTGAACTGCGAGAAGAGGAGCACGCGCGACCCCGCGGCCTTCTTCCGCGCGAGCAGCCGGTCCAGCAGCGCGAGCTTGCCCGAGGACCGCACGAGGCCCGCGCCCGCGAGGCCCCGGAGCTCGCGGTCGCGCGCCTTGGCGACGTCGCTAAGCGCGTCGTCGACGGAGACCGTCACGAACTCCGCGCCGACGGCCTGGCGCGCGCGGCACGCGGCCGCGGCGACCTCGCGGTCGTAGGTCAGCGACAGCGTCTTCGGGTGGTTCGCGACCTTGGCGAGCTGCAGCACGCGCTGCAGCAGCTGCTGCGGCGTCAGGAGCGCCGCCGCGACGTCGTCGCCCTCCCGTTGCAGGAACGACCGGTAGAGCGCGCGCTGCAGCGCGAAGAGGGGCGGCTTCAGCACGTACTCGATCTTCGGCAGGAGCGTCGACTCGACGTCGGCCTTGACGCGCCGGAGCATGCACGCGTTGAGCAGCGCGCGCGCCTCCGAGACGCGGTCCAGATCGAGGTGCGCGTCGTCGTCCGCGCCCTCGAAGCCCCCCGCGGGCCGCCGGTGCTTGGGCAGCTTCCGCTCGTCGTCGAGCTTCGAGTCGCCCAGCGCCGTGGGCAGCACGAACTGCAACAGCGCCCAGAGCTCGCCCAGGTTGTTCTGGAGCGGCGTGCCCGTGAGCAGGACGCGGAACGGCGACGGCACGCGCCGCAACCCCCGCGCGAGCTTGGACGTCGCGTTCTTGAGGCGGTGGCCCTCGTCGATGACGACGACGTGGAACTCGAAGGCCTCCGTGAAGAAGGCCTCCTCGGCCAGTAACGTGTCGTACCTGTGTGGAATTCAACCACTGGTTTGGGTGGTCCTGACCAAACTTGAGAATTCTCTAGCTCGGTCAAATCGAAGTCGATTCGGCTGATTTTTGGACGAATCGATTGCTCTCGTCGAGTTCTCGAAGCACAGCCGAAGAGCTTGCGTCGAAACTGTCGCATATGCGCACATTGAAGTCGGGTTGAAGATTTGAATTCCACACAGTGTCGTACGTCGTCAGGTAGACGTCTTTCGCGCCGGACGCGACGTCGACGTCCCCCAGCACGCGCTCGCGCTCCGCGATGGAGCCGTGGACCTTGGCGACCGTGAGCGACGGCGTGAACTTCTTGATCTCGTTGACCCAGTTCTGGAGCACGGCGAGCGGCGTCACGATGAGGTGCGGCCCGGGCTTGCCCGACGCCTTCAGCGCGCCGAGGAACGCGAGCGTCTGCACCGTCTTCCCCAGGCCCATCTCGTCGCCGAGGATGCCGCCGACGCCCAAAGCGTGGCGCTCGAGGAACCAGTTGACGCCGACGACCTGGTAGTCCCGTAGCGCCGCCTGGACGTACGACTCGCGGTTCCCGATGACGAAGGGCTCGAGGGGCCCGTCTTTCGCGCCTTTCGGGCCGCAGAGCGCGCCGAGGCGCTTCGCCTCGACGAAGGGCGCGAGCTTGGCCTTCTCGTTGCGGAAGAAGCGCGCCGCGCGCCGTTTTAACTCCTTGTGTTCGCCGCGGACGAACGCGACGCGCTTCTTGCGGCCCGCGGCGTCGGCGCCGTCGGAGGCGCCGCAGAGGCCGCAGGTCCAGCCCGCGCCGGCGTCGGCGGCGCGCCGGAGGCCCGCGCACTCGACGTGGAAGCGGCGCGGGCAGTCGCCGCACGCGACGAGCTCCTCGCCTCCGTCGGCGCCGCCGCGGCAGACCTCGCACCAGCTCCGCGGGGCCATGGCGGGCGCGTCGTCGGGGCGGGTCGCGGGCGCGCCGATCACCGGGCCGACCCGATGGAAATGGACGCGGCGCCGCGTCGACCGCGCCGCGGGGCGGCGAAGGGCGACGGTGGGGCCTTCGAGGCGCTCAAGCCCGCGCGTCCGCGCCGCGTCGTCGAGGCGAAGGACCGCGCGGCACCGTGCGCGGCGTCGCGGCGCGCGGAGGGGTGAGGACGCGGCTGACCCGACTCCGCCGACCCAAACGTCCGCCCGCTTCGGGGGCGGCCCGTCGCTTGCGATTGAAGCGATTGCAGTGATCTTTGCGCTTACGCGAACTCAAGTTGAAGTACGAGAAGTGCAACTTCCCCCTCCCAAAACGGCCCAAAACGGCATCCAAGGGTATCGGGGGCGCCCCGCTTTCCGCCCGGACGTCCCCGCGCCGCCCCGGCGGCCGGCGCGGCGGCCGGGACCCCGTCGCGGGTCCGGACGGCGGTTTGAACCCGCGCGGCACCGCACGAAATCTCGCGACGCGCGTCCGAGACCGCCAAAAAAAGGCATACTACGCCGTGAAAGGGGACAGCGAGCGGCCCGCGCGCCGGCCGACCCCGACCGGCCCCTAGTCGCGGGTCCAGATGGAGACCGCGTCGACGTCGTAGGCCGTCACGGCGACGTCGGGCGCCTTGCCAGCGCCGGGCGCGGGCGCTACGAACTGGACGCCCGTGAGCACGGCGTCCGTGACCTGGTGGGAGTAGGTCAGCGCGAGGCTCGGGTCCGCGCCGTCGGCCTTGGCCTCGTCGCCGCCGGCGCCGTCGCGCGGCTCGAGGCTCCACACGTGGAGGAACGAGTCCTCCGAGACCGTCGCGAGCTCGAGGCCCTTGTCGTCGACGGCGAGGGCCGTCACGCAGCGCGTGTGGGCCTGGAGCTCCGCGAGCTTGCCGTAGGAGGACGCGAGGTCGTAGACGCGGACGTGGCCCGACGCGAACGCGCCGCAGCACCTGGGCCGCGAACGGGTGATGCGACGCCGCTTCGACGCGAGTGTGCCGCGCTCGGCGCTCCAGAGAAACCATCCGTGCTACGAGAATGCTCCGAGAGATGATCGCTCGTCCAAAAACTAGCCGAAACGAGCGAAAAACGGCCGAGAGAGGAGCCTTTGAAGTTGGGAACGTCGCGCCCGTTCGCGGCCCCGCGCGGCACGCGGCCGCGCCGACGAGCGCGAGGCCCGTGCAGGGGTCGCGCGCGTCGCCGGCGTCGAGCAGGCCCCGGTCCTTGCCGTCGCTCTCGCGGCCCCTCGGCGTGAAGCTCGGCAGCTCCCAGAGCCGGAGCTCGCCCGCCTCGTCCGCGGACACGACGACGTCGTCGCCGCGCGTCGACGCGGCGACGGCCGTCACGGGGCTCCCGTGCGCGGGGACCCAGCGCTCGAGCTGGACGTCGACCTCGGGCTCCGCCGTGCCGAAGACGAGCACGGCGCCCGACGAGCAGCCCACGCAGACGTGGCGCCCGCGCTGGCTCCGCGCGATGCCCCGCGCGAAGACGGCCGTCTCCGGGTTCGCGACCTCGTCGGAGCCGTCCTTGGAGCCGCTGGACAGGTTGTGGCAGAGGAGCATGCGCAGGCTCTTGATGCCCGCGTCGAGCTGCCAGAGCTGCACGCCGTCGATGACCGCGACGACCTGCGTGGAAATCAACCGCCGGTTCGGGACGTCCCGACCAAACTTTGAACATCTCTCGCTCGGTCACATCGAGGTCGATTCGGCTGATTTTTGGACGAATCGATGGCTCTCGTCGAGTTCTCGAAGCACAGCCGAAGGTCTCGCGTCGAAACGGTCGCATACGCTCATATTGAAGTCGTGTTGACTATTTTTGTTTCCTGCCCGGGCGACGACGAGGATCAGCGCGCCGTTGCAGGAGCAGAGCTTCGCGTCGAAGACCTTGACGGGCTTCTGGCGGAAGGGCAGGCTCCGCTTGCTGCCGTTGCTCAGGTCGACGATGGACACCTCGTCGCCGTGGCAGTAGGCCTGCGCCGGGGGGTTTCCGGGGGATTTCGGGACGGGGGGACGCCGGCGACGCGCGAGCAGGCGGCTCACGGCCGAGAGGTTGTTGAAGAGGAGCGACGGCATGGCGCCGCTCGCGAGCGGCACGTCCGGCTTCTTCGTCCAGCGCGCCATGGCCACTCCGCGACGCGCCGGGGCTGCCCAGCGAGGCGCCCAGGTCCAAACGAATGGTCAAAGTATCCAGGTTCAAACACCTGAATGGCCGAGGTTTGACGCTTGGGCAGCCCGCGAGTCCGGGACGCCGCGGTCCACGGCGTCGGCGGCGCCATGGCCAAGGCGTCGCAGGGCGAGATGCCCGGCGCCCCGGCGCACAAGTCGCTCGGCCTGCAGCACACGATGCCGCTCCTCCTCATCAACCTCGGGGGTCCGCGCGCCGGCGTCGACGATCGACGCAGCGAACCACCGCACGCGCACAAAAAAAACATAGGCGAGATGCTCTACATCCTCGAGCAGCGCCTCAGCGCGCAGAACGTGCAGAGCGAGAAGTCCGTGCGCGTGCTCTGCGACGTCGTGCGCACCATGTTCAGCGCGCGCTTCGTCGCGGACCGCGCGCGAAGCGACTATGCAACCCGACTTCAATGTGAGAGTAGTCGGCGTCGCGACCCTCCGTGGAGACATCGACGGGCGAACACGACTCGTCCAAAAATCAGCCAAAACGACGTTCGAAGTTCGGCCGGGACGTCCCGAACCGGCGGTCGATTCGCGCGCAGGTCGCGGAGCTCTTCAAGCCCCAGTGGATGTACAAGGACAAGTCCATCCGCCAGATCTTCGACAAATTGGCCCACTCGTCGATCATGAAGCTCAACGAGACGTCCATGTCCAAGCTCTACTCCTTGATGGTCATGGGCGTCAAGTACCAGCTCCTCCGCTGCGTGTCCCCGAAGCGGTTCTACGACGTCACGATCCAGCACCTGAGCGAGCTCCGGTCCATGTGCGACTCGAAGCTCACGGACGAGCTTCTGGACGACACGGTCGCGCGCTGCGAGCGGACCTACGGCCGCTTCACCTTTGGCGACTGGATCCTCTGCAAGCAGCAGCTCGTCCAGTTCTTCCAGGGCCGCAAGGTCCGCGTGTCCCTCTTCCTCCAGCAGCAGTTCCAGGCGACGGACGGCACGCTGAGCCTCGACCCCGGCGGCGCGTTGCCGGAGGGCGCGGACGCGCCGGGCACGCTGCGCCGCTTCCGGCCCGGCTCGCGCTCGCCCGCGACGGAGCGGCTCACGCACCCGCTCCTCGCGGCCTGCGCGTCCGCCGCCGAGGACCACGGCGTCGCCGCGGCCCGGGCCCTCGGGTCCAACATGTACACGCGCGCCGCGGAATCCGGCGCGCGCGCGAACCGGCCGCCCGAGGCCAAGGCCGAGGCGAAGCGGGGCCCCGACGCCAAGGGCGGCGGCGGCGCGGCGTCGCCGGGCCGCCGCGAGTCGACGGCGCGCGCCGAGCTCACGCTCCTCGCGGGCCTCGTCAGCGACGACAAGGCCGAAAGCGGAAACACGTTCCGCCTCGCGCTCTTCGACGGCGACGACGACGACGCCGCGCCGCCGCCGGGGCCGGACGGCTTCGTCGACGCCATGATCACCCTCGACGGCAACGCCCAGCGCAAGTCCGCGGCCCAGCGCATGGACGAGCTCGGCCTCGACGACAAGGACGACAAGCAAAGCGCCGGCGCGAAGCTCGACCTCGACGACGGCGACGACCTCCTCGACCTCATGGACTCGGCCAAGTGACGGCGCCCCGTCCCTCTAGGGCTAAGCTTGCCGGCGACGGCGCGCTGCCTCGGCACCGGGCACGACGGGCGGCGCCCGACGGACGGGGGCGCTGGTCGGGGAAGGCCGAATGCAAGGCCTATCGGCCGCCGCCGCCGAGGACTCCGCCGGGGACCGAGTCGGCGACGCCAACCTGCCCGAGTCCGCGGATCTCACTCTTGAGAGAATCCAATGGGCCGGCGTCGCGCGCAAGTTTCGGGCGCCCCGAACTGGACCCGTGATGCGAAGGGCCGCCTCGTGCGCGCTGCCGAGGAGGTAAAACCCCGGGCCTCGGGCCTCAAAGATCTCCCCGTCGAATTGCTTCCGCACGTCCTGGGCTATCTACCAGACCACCTTCGGCGCTTCTTTCGCGTGACGCAGTCGCTCGCGGCGGCGCGCACCCGCGGCACACACGTCGAGTGTGTGGATACAAATCTGGTCCCTTACCACCACATGATGCCGGACCTGCGGTCCAGCGCCACGGCGCGTCTCGCGCCTCGGAAACTTAGGCTCGGAACCTTGACCGTCGATGGATCAGAGATGGCGCTCGTCGTCAGCTGGCTTTTGGCCAAGATTGACTTCAGCCGCCTGGTAGATGTTGACTTGCACTCGATTACCCCGGCGGGATCTCACATGGCCTCGATGTACACGCACTTGGATATGACGGGCGACGTGATTGGCGACGACGTGCTGCCTTTCCGCGAATATGTCTCGTGGAAGGGCCCGGCCTCGAAGACTGTTATGGAAGCCTTGGCCAGTGTGCAGACCATTCGAAAACTTGCTCTGCGCGGCGCGTCAGCAGCCATGGGATCCCTGCGCGCGCTCGAGCACTTTCCTCTTGAAAAGCTCCAAGTTTCCGTCGAGGCCCACGTTGAAAATAACGGTCAACCGGAAACTGCCTACCCGAAGCAAGACGTCGCATGGCTCATCCCGCGGCTTGGTTCTCTGCGGGAGCTCCGCATCTTAGAAAAGAACGCGAGCGGTTCTGGACGTCTTCCGTTGATTCTGCGATCGAGCACGCTGCGCGTAGTGGATGTGACCAATACTGCGAAGCACTTCGCGCTGGAGGTGCAACACTGCCCGAATCTACGCCATATTTATTGCAAGCCCAGTCGTTTTGGAAATGGACCGCGCGAAATCCGCGACGGACGCGTCGATCCCGCTGATCCTCGACCGTATGATTATTCAAGTTATGGTCGAGTTGCAGACATGGATGTTGTTGCTGGTGGCAAGACATTTGTTCCTAGTCCGAAGGGCGCTTATCCATTTGTTCCTAGTCCGTATCAAAGCGAGCCCGTGTTTACTCTGCCTCCGTCTTGCGTCATCCATTTCCGCGATGATTGTGGCATTTGGAATGACTATGGGATTCGTCAGTGACGCAGCCAGTCAGTCCAACAGCCTCGCCCAGCGGGCGCGTAGATCCGCGCCGAGCTAAGCACATGTGTTAAATCCCCGCCGGCAGCGGCGCGAGCGTCCCGTCGGCCTCGAGGGCCCAGTCCGCGTCGGGCCCCGCGTGGACGTCGGGCTCGTCGACGGCGGGCGCGTCGCTCAGCGCGACGTCGGCGAGGGCCGGGAAGGACGGCTGGGAGCCGCGGCCCTGGACCGCGAGTGCGGCGACGCGGCTCGCCTTGGCCATGGCCGCGACGGTGCCGTCGCCGGCCGCGACGAAGGCGCCGAAGGCGCCGAGGAAGGAGTCGCCGGCGCCCGTCGTGTCGACGGCGTCGACGCCGGCGAGCGCCGGCACGAAGACGCTCTGGCGGTCGCCGACGAGCAGCGACCCCCGCGAGCCGAGCGTCGCGAGGACGCGCCGCCCGGGCGTTCGCGCCCCCCCGCCGCAACAGCGCCCGCGCCGCCTCCACGGCGTCCCGGACGGATTCGATGGGCGCGCAGCCGACGAGGAGCGCGAGCTCGACCTCGTTCGGGCAGACGACGTCGCACGCTCCAGCAGCGCGTCGGGCACGCCGGCCGCGGGCACGGGCGCGACGTTCAGCACCGAGAGCCCGCCCGGCTGCGCCGCGCGGAAGGCCTCGAGCGCCGCGAGCGTCGTCTCCGGCGGCACCTCCATCTGCGTCAGGAGCACGTCCGCGGCCGCGAGCGCGTCCGCGGCCGCGGCGACGTCCGCGGGCGCGAGCGCGCCGTTCGCGCCCGGCACGATGACGATCGTGTTCGTCCGCTCCGCGGCGCCCACCGTGATGAGCGCCACGCCCGTCGACACGCCCGGGCCCGCCGTCGTCACGTGGGCGCGGCCGACGCCGCAGTCGTCGAAGTTGGTCCTCATGGCAGCGCCAAAGTCGTCGGCGCCGACCTTGCCCACGAAGTCGACGGCCGCGCCGGCGCGGGCGGCCTGCACGGCCTGGTTCGCGCCCTTGCCGCCGAAGCACGTCGCGAAGGTCTCGTGGGCGATGGTCTCGCCGGCCAGAGGCAGGCGCGGCCCGGAGCAGATGAGGTCGTTGTTCGTCGACCCGACGACGGCGACGCGCGCGGCCAGCGGCGCCAGGCGCTCGGCATGGTGCGTGCACGTCGCGGCGAAGCCGCTGCAGACGCTCAGCGTGCAGGCGAGGAGGAGTGCGAGGCGCAAATGGAGCTCCATGCTCTGCTAATTCTTGTTCGCCGATTGCCAATTTGCCACAGCGCAAACATTAACCATCTTGTTGCGAGCTATGGGAGTTTGAAACTTGATTTCCAACCAAGCTCATGAGCTACCGCGCGATGCCGCAGAGCGTCGCCGACGCGCTCAACCGCCGCGGCAAGGGCCCCGCCGCGGCGAAGCGCCCGGCGGCGGCGCCCCGCTTCGGCGCCGCGCCGCGGCCGCCCCTCGGCGCCGCGCCGCGCAGAGCGCCCGCGCGGCCCGCGGACCCGCTCGCGGCGGCGCTGCGGCCGGCGCCGAAGAAGCGCGCGAAGACGACGGCGCTCGAGCGGCCCGTGGCGACGTTCTGCGACGGCGGCGACGACGACCGCGGGCCTCGCCGCGCGGCCGTGCCCGAGGAGTCGCGCGTCTTCCGGCGGCGGAACCCGCGACCGACGCGCGAGGCGCACGCCTACTGCGCGGCGGCGCGCGGCTTCAAGCCCGAGGCGGCGCCGCGGGCGCGCCGGGGCCCGACGGTCGTCACGCCGAGCGAGGCCGCCGCGCTGCTCAAGGCGCGCGCGCCGGCGCCGAAGCCGCGCGCTGCCGCGGCCGCGGCGCCGGCGCCGTCGTCCTGCCCCTGGCTCGCGCCCGTCGGCGCCGACGAGGCCGCGCGGCTCAAGGGCCGCACGTCGCGGCACGCGGCCGCGGCCGCGGCCGACGCGGCGGCCGCGGGCCTCAAGGGCCTCGCGCAGCTCGAGCGCCGCGAGACCGCGTCCGCCGCGGCGACGGAGGCGCGAGCCCGCGCGGAGACCGTGCGCTGCTTCGCCTGCGCCGACTGCCGGCGCCTCTTCGAGGCGCGGCCGCCGCGCTGCGACGAGCTCGGCCACCGCGTCTCCCGAACGACGGCGACGCGGCGCCTCTTCTGCTGCGCGGGCTGCGGCTGCGAGCGCCACGCCCTCGAGCGGCGGCCCCGCGGGCCCTGCCCGCGCTGCCGCGAGGACAGATGGAAGCTGGCGACGGGCGAGGGCAAAATCGCCGGCGACGACCACGCGTTTCGCCCCGCGCTCGCGGAGTGGACGCCCCGGGCCGACGTGCTGGCCATCGTCGATATCTAACACCGGAAGAGGGCGTCCCCGAGCTTCGCGAGGCCCGCCGCGCCCGCGGGGAGGTCGCCGTCGAACTGGGGCGTCCGGACGAGGTCCACGCGGAGCTCGTCCGCGAGCGCGTGGAGCTCCGCGAGCGCGGCGGCCTGCGTCGTCTCCGCCGCGGCGCAGAAGGCCGCGAGGCCCGCGTCGTCGCCGCCGTCGAGGACGCCGTTGACGACGACGGCGCGGCAGGCGATGCCCGCCTCGTCGAGGGAGTCCAGGAGGTTCGCCGTCTCCGTGAGGCTGAGGTCGGTGGGCGCGGCGACCGCGAGGAACTCGCACGACGCCTCGTCGTGGAGGATGGCGTCCATGGCGAAGGCGTCGTCCTGGACGTCGCGCACGGCGTCCCGGCCGCCGGACTCGCCGCCGCCCCCGGAGAAGCCCGCGCCCGCGAGCGCCGCGGCGACGACGGGGTTCCGTTTGAGGCGGTCGCGCGCCTGGGCAGGAAAATAGTGATTCGTCGTCGCTTCAACTTGAGTGTTCCGCGCGCGCGTGTTCCCGAAAAAGCACCCACGCTTCGAGACCGTTCCGAGAGATGATCGCTCGTCCAAAAATCAGCCAAAACGAGTGGAAACCGGCTGAGATAGGAGCGTTTGAAGTTGGGAATTTCGCACTCTTTTCCTGCCCGGTCGCGCGCGTTCATGGACCGCTCCGCGAAGTCGTCCATGAGCTCCGGCAGCGCCAGGAGCCGGAGCGTGTGGCCCGTGGGCGCCGTGTCGAGGACGATGCGGTCGTAGTTTTTGGACCGGATGAGCTCGAGGACCTTCAGGAGGGACACGAGCTCGTCCAAGCCCGGCGGCGACGTCTCCAAGGCGTCCGCGAGGTCCGCGGCGGCCGCGCCGGCGTCGCCCAGGGACCGCAGCTTCTCGCCGAGCCCCTCCTTCAGGAGCGCCGCGGCCTCGCGGGCCGCGGCGTCGGCGTCGACCTCGAGCGCGAAGAGCCGGCCCTCGGACGGCGCGTCGACCTCGACGACGGCGCCGCCGCCGAGGTCCACGGCGAGGCAGTCGCCGAGCGAGTGCGCGGGGTCCGTCGAGATCACCAGCGTGTCGAACCCCCGGTCCGCGAGGGCCACGCCCAGCGCCGACGACACCGTCGTCTTGCCCACGCCGCCCTTGCCCCCGCAGACGACGAGCTTCGCTTCCCTTTGCGCGAAGATGCCGTCGAGCGCGGCCGCCGCGGCGTCGCCCTCGAAGGCGCGGCTCCCAAAGTACTTGAGCCCGAAGACGCCGCCGAGCTCGCTGCCCGTGTGCAGCGCCGGCACCTCGACCTTGGCCGCGGCCGCGAGGGGGTTTCGCGAGAACGCGGCGTCGACGTTCGCGCGGTGCGATTCCGCGAGCGTCCGCGCGGCGCCGACCTCAAAACCATCAAGACACCGGTTCACGACGATGGTCCGCAGGCCGACGCCGCCGCCCTGCGTCGCGCCCGCGAGCTTCGTCGCGAGGCGCCGCGTCTCCGCGTAGGCGAGTTCCGTCGGGATCGCGACGGCGACGAACTCCGTGCGCTCGCTGTCGCGCAGCGCGTCGCGGACGCCGTCGAGGCCGGCCTTCAAGGTCTCGAGCTTCGCCGCGACGGCGTCGACGTCGCCCGCCGCGCCCGCCAAGGGGTTCGACGCGCCCAGGACGCCGCCCGCGAGTTTCGCCAGCGAACCGACGCGGTCCCGCAACCCCACGAGCTTCCCCACGAGCCCGTCGGCGAACTGGGGCAGGTCCAACAATCTCAAAGCGTGGCCCGTCGGCGCCGTGTCGACGACGACGCGGTCGTAGTTTTCATCCCTCGCGTACTTGACGACGTCCGCCAAAGCCACGAGCTCGTCGATGCCCGGCGGCGGCGACGCGAGCAGTTCGACGAACTCGTCGAGCCCCAGGGACCGCACGGCCTCGACGCCCAGGGGGCCGTAGCGCGCCCCAAAGGCCTCGGCGTCGAAGGCCTCGACCGCGCGGCGCCAGTTGGCCATCGCCGCGTCGGCGTCGACCTCGACGGCGTCGAGGTTGTCGCCGACGCGCGTCGGCGCGCCGGACAGGCGCACGCCGAGGGCGTCGCCGAGGGAGTGGGCCGGGTCCGTCGACACGAGGAGCGTGCGCGCGCCCCGGGCGCTCCACTCGAAGCCGATGGCCGCGGACACGGAAGTCTTGCCGACGCCGCCCTTGCCGCCGACGAAGAGGAGGTCCACGGAGTCGCGGATGTGCAGGGCCATGGACGGCGCGCGGCGCGCATGGAGGCGCCGCGCGGGCGAGCGCAGCGCAGTTGCGCGCACGGCGAGGCCGACGAGCAGGGGAAGCAGAGCCATCGCGGCGACTTCGCTGGATTGTTGAAGCTTCAACCTTGGGCGGGTCGAGCAGCCCGCGGCCGCGTCGGGTCGTGCCCGCTCCGCATCGTGACCTCGCGCAGCGGTAGCGATGGACTTCTCTTCGGAACGCGCGTTCCTCGACCGGATGCGGAGTTTTCATGCTTCGGGCGGCGACCTTGATGCAGACGTTCTAGACGTCGTCGATAGTTTTTCAACAACGCCCCTAGGTCATGCAGCACGCCGAGGCTGGTGCATCGTCATAGAATTTCTCTGCACACATGGCGCCGACGTGAACGGTCAAGACGAAGATGATTGGACGCCACTGCAATTCGCCGCTTCTGGCGGCCAATGCGATGCAGCGGTCCTCCTGCTCGCCGCAGGCGCGCGAGTCGATGACCGAGGCTACAACGGGCGCACCGCGCTCCACATTGCCGCCTATCGTGGACGCACCAACATGTGCCAGCTCCTCCTGAGCCGCGGCGCGTCGCTCGACGTGCGCACCAACGGCAACGACCCCGAAGCCGAGGCGCGAAGCTACGGCCACCCGGCCACGGCCGACTTCCTCGGCGCGGTCCGCGCCGCGGGCGGCTGGTGGGGCTTCGTCGACGCTCAGGCCGCGCCGCAGCGCCACGCGCTCCTCGTGCTCCGCCGCGCGCTGCCCGCCCTCCGCGCGCGCCGCGCGGCGGCGCCGTGGAACGCGCCGCACCTCTACTACGTCCTCTTCGTCGACGTCCCCGAGGTCGTCTTCACGGCGGTCTTCGCCTACTGGTCCGCCTAAGCCTTAGCGGAACGCGCTCTCGGGCCAGTCGAGGTTGTCCGGCGGCTCGACGACGCCCGAGGACTTGCGGCGGACCATGTCCGTCGTGATGAGCGGGTCGGAGATGCGGCTCACGCGCGCGTCCGCCGTCGCGAGCGACGACGCGACGTGGCGGGAGATGGTCTCCGCGACGAGGGGGTTGCCCTCGGAGTCCCCCAGGTGCTGCTCGATGGACAGCTCCGCGTCCTTGATGTCCGACGCGAGGCGACCGTCGAGCTCGACGGAGAAGGACGCCTTGCGCTCCGCCGTCGCCTCGTCTTTCAGCGCCGTCTCCGAGCGCCGGGGCCGCCGCTCGCCGCGCGACGGCGG